CTGGTCAATCAAGTCAGGCTTCAAGCTCATCAAGGCTTGCGACTTGGTGATCAAGCCCTCCTTGGCCATGTCAACTGCAATCTGAAGCGCAGCAGGAGCGGTGCGCTTTCCGTTCCGTGTTTGCAACATGTAAAGTTTGCCCTGCTGAATTGTGAACTCGATATCCTGCATATCCTTGTAGTGATGCTCCAACTGGCTTCGCACAGACAGCAACTCTTTAAAGATATTGGGCATCACTTCTTCCAAGGATGGCAAGTCTGAACCGTGAGACTTGCGGGCTTTGATGGTGAGCTCTTGCGGGGTCCGGATTCCAGCCACGACATCCTCACCTTGAGCGTTGACCAAGAATTCGCCGTAGAATTCGTTGGTTCCAGTGGATGGATCACGAGTGAAGGCCACGCCTGTAGCACAATCGTTGCCCATGTTGCCAAAGACCATGGCCTGTACGTTCACAGCAGTGCCCCACCACTCAGGGATGTCATGCAGCTGCCTGCCAGCAATTGTGCCATAAGCATGTTTGTGCACTCTTTGGTCCCAACTTCGGCGCCGGTGTTGACTACAAATACATATATATATATATATGTGTGTATATACATTACTTCGGCGCTGGTTATAAATATGTATATCTGTATTATATACACATTGTATCACATTATGCTATGCTGTGCTTATGTCACATTCAAGGTCTCTAACTGTGCGCATGCACCACAATTGGGGAGTTTGCTGTCAACTCTCAGTTTTCAGCCACTGTCGCCCGGTTTGCGTCGGGCGAGGGATCAATAAAAAGACAAAAATGAATCAAAAAATAAGTATATTTCAGGGGATCAAGAAAAAAACAAAAATGAATCAAAAGAACATTTAAAAACGTAAACGGACCCAAACGTGCAAAGGGAAGAGCAATTTAACGGGCGGGGGATCAACAAAAAACATAAATGAATCAAACAATAAGCATATTTCAGTGTGATCAAGAAAAAACAAAAATAAACGGACCCAAACGTGCAGAGGGAAGAACAATATTCCATTCGAAGCAGTGATCAAAATATATATTAAAAAAACACAAAAGTAAAGTCACATGAAATGAAAATGAAAAGGACAGAAAGAATGAATGAGTCAATGAACGAATGAAAAAATGAAATGAAAACGCTCAACAATTAAAAGCGGGAGAGGGGGGCGCGGGGGAGGGCGCAGCGCCTCCCCGCAATGTAACTTGGCACGACCAAAAAACAGATATCATGGAGTTTCCCCGATGAATCTTTCTTTGATAACTGCAATGGTCTCTGTGCTGGTTTTGCAACATCGCATTTCAATTTCACAGCCTTCCTTCCTTCCTTCCTTCCTTCCTTCCTTCCTTGCGTCCTTGCGTCCTTGCTTCCTTGCTTCCTTGCTTCCTTGCTTCGTTTCTACCTACCTGCCTACCTACCTACCTTCCTTCCTTCCACCCGCTAGCCCTTCCTTCCTTCCTTCCTTCCTTCCTTCCTTCCTTGCTTCCTCTTCCTTTCTTGCCTCGGTCCTTCCTTTCTTCCTTTGCTCGTTTCTTTCTATGTTCTTTTTGATGCATGTTATTTCTTGTTTGATGCATTTTGTGTATTTCTTGATGCATTTTTGTTTCATTTTGATGCGTCTCCCGCTTACGTCGGTCTGACACAAGGTCTTCGAGTCTGACTTTGCTTCTCCAACGTTCGCCCCCCCAACTCAGACATTTCAATCAGAACATCTTTTGTGAGTCTTTTAAACACCTTCTCCACCAACACAGAGGCCTGTAGGTCTTGGCTCGCTGATTCATCCAGGAGTTGAAAACAGCACCAATGGCTCCCCAAAGCTGTGCTTTTGGATCTTCTGGGAACTCCTCACCAAGCTCCAACTGCACCACGGCCTTGTATGACTTTACCAATTTTTCTAAGTCTTCTGGAAGCAGCTCGCAGTCCTGCAAGAAACAATCAAAACGAACCCGGAAAGCATGAGTTGCTTTAGCTTTCAAGTCACTAAAAAAGAAAAAAACTTCATGTATGCCGCATGTGCAACATGCAGCAACATGCCCCGGTGTGGCCTGCTTCACGCCACGCTTTTCCTTTGCACGCTCCAGGTGCTTCTCAAAGTGGTTGATTTCAATGCCCAGAACGACGTCAGAGTACATCTGCACAAAACGCCTATAGCTGTCAAAGGCAAAGCGACGGTCGCCAGACTTCTTCGCCAAAGCTTCCACAGTCTTGTCGTTCAAGCCCAAGTTAAGCACTGTGTCCATCATGCCTTCCACACAGCCATTGCCAAAGCTCTTTGAATTCGCACACCACTTGCGTCTCACAATGCATCTAAAGTCACTACCCTATTTGCACCACAACACCAGTGTCACAGCTTCGACCAAATCCAATCAAGGGCATTCGATTCAAGATATTGTGATACATATATATATATATATATACCCTACACCTCCAAAGACGATGTTTAACTCAGTCATTCGTAAACAACCATGTTTAACATAGTCGTGGAGTGAAGACGATGTTTAACCACAAAGTGTAACTTACAGTGAACTTGCAGCACCATCACGCACCTTTTTTCCATCACTTGGACTCTTTGTTGGTACTCTTCGAATCTTCCATTTCATTGTGTTGAGGGAAACCCTCGCTAGCTTCATCACAGACCAGTCACGCTACCGCTTACATAATCCTATTTGCATCATACCCCGATGTCACAGCTTCAACCAAATTCTATTATATATATATATAAATTATATCAAGGGCTACGGCTGACACAATTGACAGAATATGGAATATGGGTGACCTCGTTCTGGAACAGTTTTCAGAATCTGCCCTGTCATGCAAACTGCATTCTATCAAGGTCTGGGAAAATATGTGTTGTTAAAAACATGTGAATCATCCAAGAGTGTTATACCAAAAGCATTGTACACAACTGTCCTGGCATGGATGCTCGTGCACCCGAGCGGACTGAGACCAGAAGAGGGTTGGTGGAGTCGCCGAACACGCGGCCCGTGCGCTGTTGGACCAAGGCCAACGCCTCCTCCACCTGATGAAGCAAAGAGATGTCATGTTGCACTGTTGCACCGACACTTCTCAACCCTCCTGAAAAATCCAACAAGCACTTCCATGCAACTGTCCAGTCGAGGCACCTGCTGCGTAAGCTCCTTGGGGTAGTTGCAATCGTTTTTTGTAGAAATGAGTGCACACCTCTGTTGTAAGGGTGAACCCGGGTGG